ATATGGTTTTCACTGCCCTATGCATAGCCAAGAAAACTGTCCTCATGATCTGGAAAAATAAAAACAATCTTAATTCTAACCAATATAGAAATTATCTATTAGATTACATTAGTTTTGATACAGCCTCGGCCACCACATCAGATCAATTGCTCTGGGCTCCTTTGATCGGCTCCATCACCTAGTGGGGGTGGGGGTCATAGTTTGGTCCCGCCTTCAATGTTGTGATTGGTGTGGGGGCAGGGACAGGCTTAGGGCGTCGGGGGGTTCCCCGGAGGCATCTTCCTTGGGGGGCTCAAACCGGGGTAGCGGTCATGTCCGGTTGGGGGCTCTTTTCTGACCATTTCCTCGTGGCTGCGTGCAGCGGGGCTAGGGGAGGGTCTGTGATGATGGACGTGGGTTACTGGCCTGGTAGCCTGTCTGCCCCTGGGTGGGTCCGGGATGGGCGTGAGGGTCTGGGGGCGCTCCATCTCTGGGCCGGGGCCCTGGCCGGGCCTCGGGGCCTTGGGTCCCGGTTTGTGTGTTGCCGGGGTTGTGGTGCATGGGAGCATGGGAGCCCATCCCTGGCGCAGGGTGCCGCCGGTGTGTCGAGTCGCCTGTGGGGCTCTTCAACCGGTGGGGGAGATTGTTACACCTTGCAGGAGCTTTCCTCCCCTCAGGAACTCTCTGCAGGAGGGGGAGATACAGGAGAGGTCGAGGAAGATCTCAGCCTGGGCGTCTATTGTCTCATGTAGTCTGGAAGACGAGTGGATGGTGGGGTGGCTGCAGTTTTCTCTGTGGTGGGGTTGGGTGGACTGTCCCGGGCTCTGTGGGGCCGGGGGGCGCTGCTGCGCTGGGCCCCGGTCTGGATGGGCCTGGGCCCCCTTTTCCCTGGCGGGTCGCGGAGTGTGGGAGTGCCTACTGGGGTCAGCGGGGGAGCTGGCCCCAGGAGGGGTCACTGCCCCTCCCTTCCTTCCCTCCCCATCTCCAGCTGCCTCCCTCCTCCCGCTCCACCACAACCACCCACACATGCAGGGCCTTGGAGTAGGGGTATGTCACCAGGATGCAGAGGAGGCTACCCCCCCCCCCCCCCCCCCCCCCCTCTGTCCCCTTCTGGCTGCCTCTGCCTCAATTTTATCCCACAACTTAGACATTCACATTACTCACACCCTCATTACACATACATATAGGATCTTGGGGTGGGCACAATACACGGAGTCCAAGTTACCATCAGGGTGTACACCTCACCCCTGGCATCGTTGCTCACCTCTCAATTTTAAATACATGTAGACATTGAGGGCTAACAGGAGGGACTATGCGCTTACCTGCTGCTCTCTGGCAGGTAGCTCCATGCCCTCCTGGGTTTTAATTGCACCTTAGAACACACATGCGTCAACACTACAATGAGCGGGTGGAGGGAGGTTTGGAGTCTTCTCTCACCCCCGTTCTCTGCGGCCTGCTGGAGCGGGGGGCTAGGAGGTGTTGGCCGTCCGGCTGCGGTCTGGGGTGTGGGCCTCCCTGCTGCTGCGGAGTCGGGGCGGTCTGCCTCTCCCCACCGCAGGGAAAAGGGTAACACCACCTGGGTCTGGGTGCAGTTCCCCCCTCCAGGGGCAGGGGTACCTAGACCCGGTTTGTAGAGTACGCTTGGGGAGTGTGATTGCGTATACAGCGTCTCTTTATATTTCTCTCCATGTCGGTTGAGTGTGAAGTGCACATGAGAGCATGAGGGTGGGAATGGATGTTTGTGTCTGTATGTTTGTATCTATATGTCAGGTTGGGTATCAGACGCCACCTCTCTGGGGACATCTCGGGCCTTCCAAGGTTTGGAGGCCTATCTCCACCCACCACCACTTCCCCTGCCGGTGGCGGACTCCCTCAGGTGTCGGAGCGTTGGTGGTTCTTTGTATCTGGGGGTGGGCGTCCGGGTACACACCGGCTCACTCCTTGGCGGCCGCTTATTGGGGCTCGCTCGGGCCATTTCGGAGGTGGGGTGCCCCCGGCCTCTCGGCCTGGGGCTCGGTCACTCAGGCACAGCTGGCTGCCGGCGGAGCACACGGGCGCATCACTGCAACTCCCCCTGGCTTCTGCTCCGCGGCTGCTGAGTGAGCCCTCATCTGGGACTCTCCTTAGCTCTTACTGGGACAGTGGCGCAGCTGCCCCTCTGTGGGTCTTCCTTGGTCTCTTGTGTTCTGGGGGCCTCTGGATGTCTGGAGTTTTGATCTCCTCCATACCCTTGATACCATAAAGGACAGGGCCGTGGCTCCCCACACTCCCTAGCAGATCATTACATGGAGAAACCTTTGGAATGCAAGCATGCTGATCCACACAGGTATGCACACAGGTGTACACATGGGTATTCACAGACGCGGACTACAGCTTTCTTGGCTGCTGCCTCAAAGCACACTGTGTGCTGTCTATCTTGCGTGCTGAACAATATCGTCTATTATTTAGTAACTATTGATATCTATGACTAGCTAGTTTATTGTGATGGTGCTTTTTTTTTTCTATTATTATGTTGCTCTTTGTTGTTTGCTGTCTCCTCTGTTTGTTTTTTGTTTTTTTTCTCCATACAGGTGACCCAGGAGTTTTTTTTTGTTGTTTGTTTGTTTTTCCTCTCTTCCCCCCTTCTCACCGTCTCTTCTCCCCTTTGGTTTTCTTTCTTTCTCTCCCCCTCTTTCTTTCATTCTTTCCCCTGTCCTATTAAAAAAAAAAAAGAAAAAAAAGATGACAAAGGATGAACTGAAGCTCCGCCATCACGTGATGTCACATGCTGCTGTTTCTGATGTCACTTAAAAAAAAATAAAAAAAAACAAAAAAAAAAACAGAATGTGTGTGTGTGTGTGTGTGTGTCAGACCTCCTGCTGACCAAAGGGTCGTAAACCCAGGAAGCTTACGTCAAAAGAAACAGATCTTTCAGATAGGATGTATCTACAATAAAACCTCCCCCAGCACAGAGTGGTTGGAGAGGTGGTCAGGATCAAAGGGATGGCTTTGATCCTACTGCTTAAACTAAGACTGTACAAATTTAAAAAACACAATGGCAACATTCAACAATTAGACTTAACATGGCCATTGATCAGTGGTTCTTGATTACTGGTCATAACAATTTGCATATTAATGATATGCAGTGATGCTGGTTTCAGTCATTGTGCAAAAGTACTGTTTATAAGGTTGGGAAAACCTGCAGTCAGCTGGACACAGAATGCTTGATTTGCTCCCTTCAGGCAGGAGGCTCCGGTCCATCTGTACCAGCAGAGCGTTCTCACTCCCGAGGCGTAACATGTCGACGTTTTGTCACGTCCCGCGGCGTTCCTGAGGAACGCGAAAGGAGACCTTCGGCGTTCTTATGGTACGCGGCGGGTTATTGCTGGAATCCAGTGCAATGACGCTCCCGCGGTAGTAGACGTTCCAGCCCTGTATTTCAGCCCTAAACCTAACCTTATCCCTAGCCCTGACCATAACCTTATTCCTGACCTTAACCAGGACTTTAATGATGTTAAATAGCGTGTTTCTAAGCGATTTGAAGAAAAAGAGCGAACATGTGTAGGTTCAGTCCAGACGGTTCTCATATTTCCTCTTTTTCCGAGGTCGTCATTTAGGAACGTGGTGGGTAGCCGAAAACGTAATATGGTGACGATTTGTCACCTAGCGTAAAATGTTACGCTTTGGGAGTGAGAACGGGTTGGTACCAGAACCTTCCTGATTTCTGACTCAGCTGAGACTGAAGTTGGATGAGTGACAAAAAGTTTCTCCCACTGAAAATGTCCAGATGAACAGAATCACCCTTGATTGAGCATCAGGACTACTGTGTCTATGTTGTGCTCTGGTGAAGTAGCCGGACTATGAAATGTGAGGTCATATTGTGAGCTGCTAACCTCCAGGTTAGCCTGCACTGTATAGGTAGTTGATAAAAAAAGAGGCAGTTTTATCAATGTAACAGGGAGGAAGAATACAGAATAATATAATTGGACCAGTTGTCCAACGATTACGATATAATATCCACTACCTCTGAGAGGCAGGTCTGTAATTATGAGAAGCAGAAACAGTTTACACATGGTTATATTTATTTTGGATCCATTCAAGGTGACAAAATCTGCATCAACAGTTTCAGGAAGTCAGAGCTTCTGATTAAAAACAAAGTACAGCCACAGGAAATGTTGGAATAAAACAAACAAACAAAACACACATTAAGTACTAACACATGTGGATCTTTGTTGGGAGAATATATAAAGGAAAGTAACAGTTGGACAGTAACAGACTGAAGTGTCTCCTTCATGGAAGTTCAATGAAGCTGAATCGTTCCAGGTCAAAGGGAGGAAATGTTGGACTCTGCAGCTACATAGAAATGTTTTTTTCTTTGGTTTCATTTTAATGAAATTACATTTAAAACGAGTCAAATACCAGCAACATGTGATCAAAGGATCCTGAGTAATATCAGACAAATACTGTTTATATTCCAAAACAACTTTCTCCTCTTTTCTGATGAAAAATGTAAATTAAATGCAAAATCTGGACGTGTCTGACAGGTACCTGCTAAATGTTTAATATTACTGATTTCTGTCTTTCCACATTTTCAGTGACACGACTGAAAGCAAAGCACAAGAATCACAGTTAAGCTGACATTTCAAACAGGCTGAAATTCAACAGGAGGCTGGTGTGAATCCTGACTCTGCTGTTGTTTATTTTTTCTGTAGATCAAAAAACCAACAACAGCAAAAACAAGAAGCACAGCACAAGCTGACAGACCAACAATCAGTCCAACAGGTCCATCCTCTGTGTCTCCTCCTGGCTGACCTGCAGGTGAGAAACAGGTGTGAGGTGTCAGCTGTCAGGTAGGTGATGAGTGAAGAACAGAACAGAATCCATTTCCTCTTCAAACTGCTGTCAGACATTATCTACTGCACTCTGATCACATCACTCAGACCAGCTGCTTTCTACAAAGTCTCATCAACAACATCTTTAGAAACAAACATCAACAAGCAGGAAGCAGCTTCACCTCTGATCACACACACACTCAACTCTACTCACTCACCTGGAGGAACAACTCTTAGTGTGACGATGCTGATGGGCTCATTTTTCAAAACAGCTTTCTTCCTGCGCTTTGCTCTTCTCTGGACGACACGACACTCGTATCTTCCAGCGTCATTAGTTGTCACATTGTTCAGAATCAAAGACACGTCTCCATCCTTCATCTGTCTGTCCTGCAGATCCACCCGGTTCTTAAAAGATGGATGCTGGTTTTCTGGATCAAACAGCTCATCCCGTAACAGAAGCACATATTTCTCTCCCAGGTCAGCTCTGCTCCACTCTAGAACAATAATGTTGTTGTTGTTTGGAGCTCGACATGGCAAAGTGATGTCCTGTCCAGACTCAGCTGTGATGTTTTTCTGATCTGAAAGAGGGAACAACACAGAGTTGAGAGGTTAAAGGTCAAAATACAACCACTCACCTCTAAAGCAGCCAATCAGAGTGAAGGTCACTTGTGTCAAACCTCATTTTTCACTGACGCTGCTTTAAAAGTATGTTCTAATGGAAGAGTGTTTTACTTTGTTACCTACCTACAATAAATAAGGAGCTAATTTTAAACTGAGACTGCTGTTATAAGTGTTTGGTGCACTGGAATTCTCAGAAATGCTTTAAGCATGAAATCTTTCTGGAAAGACTCCACATTTCCTGCAGCTTCACAAAACAAAAACATGTGCTGATAATAAGTGAACATAATGTGTGAGAGAAAGCAGCCTCTCATTATAAGACACTGAGTCTCTGCATGCTGCCTTTATGGAGCTACAGCTGTTTGTATACACTGAACAAGAAGCTTTGTAGCTGCATACTGACTCCTGACACTACAACACATCACACTGACACACACATTACACTTCTGTCTCTGTCACAGCTGGATTACAGAAACAGATGTTAAGTTTATACAGACTCCGCTCACCCATGTGCCACCTTCACAGCAGCATAAAAAACAGGAGCTTGTCTTAATTGCATTATAATTTTGATTTAATGACTCGATGGAAACAGCAATTAGTTAGAGTTATGGCTACATTACTTTTGCATTTCTCCACAATGTGGTCTGAGATCTGATGTTACTGGTGAAGCAGAAACTTTAAGCCACTAATCTCCTGTCTGTTGCTGTTTGGAAAGCAAATGCAGAAGAGTACCAAACATGTTTCCTGTTTGGTTCTCTAAAATGCCAAATGCACATCAGTGGACGAGGATGAGCTATGAGTTGGCTCAATGCTGATTGGGTGAAGAGAGGGATATAAAAGAGATATAAAAACAAAGCATGAAAAGCACAGAGTGGCTGCAGTGGACACTGGTTTTCACTTCAGCTCTTTGTGTGTTATAACTTGACTCTTCTCTGTGGTTGGCTGAAGATCAACAAACAGCACAAGGAAGATTTTCCCACAGACCGGTTGTACCACATACACTGCCTCCATCAACATCAAACACTGTGCAGGTAGATGAGCCGTCCGTCTGCCTCATATTACTGCACTGAAGCATAAAAGCAGCATTAGAGTGGCAGCTTCAGATGCCACTGCTTTGCTGCAGCAGCTGCCTCTATTCAGAGGTGATGCCACCACCTGCTGAGCAGATCTGTCGTGATTAAACACTGAAGGATATTAATCACATGCACATTTGTGCAACCACACACAAGAACTTGAGTTGTGGTTCATTTGTAAAGCTCTGGAGAGATACAGACGACACTGAAAAACGAGGCATGTTCAGTGCAAAAAATCTAGATATCCTCATGCTCCGGTAACTTCAGGGTTAATTTGGGGTTTTCTGTACTACAGATTTGTAGTTAAACAGCTATGAAAGACCCACCCTACTGACTGAGTAGTCGTCCAGCATTATCATCAATATTCCTACAATCAATATAAATTCTTAGACACAACTGTTGCTATTTTTGAGGGGATGGTGTCCTTTAGGGTCAATAGACGTCCAGCATCTTATTCTGACTGATGAATAACTTTGAACAGAGAAGCATCCAGGTAGCAGACCAGCCTCAACTATAATCCATCATATTCATGTGTCTTACTGATAAAACTGTGGAATTAAAACTCACACAATAAGTGTTTGTGAGCTTTTCTTCCTTCCTTTAAATAGGATACATTTTATTAACAGCTCTTCTCCAGTCTCACTGACCAAAACATGCACACATTTATACAGCACGTTTTACACTGAACTACAGCACAGAGCCTTTCCTCTACATCTGATTATCTACAGCAGATTTTATGTATAACCTCTACATATGTTTAATGACCTTGTATAGTTTATCTTTCCTTTGCACAATCAGCTGCTGTTACACTAATCACTGTGACTGTTTTGATGTTGCCAAGACATCTGTTTCATGTGAACATGTAAGTGCATCCTGGAGTAGTTTAGGGCGACTGTTTATTGATCCTAAAAGGAAAATGCTACTTGTCTATCTGATCAACAGTATTTGGGTACATGAATCTAGATAACTTAAAGACACCCTCTATCAGTGTTGCCAACTTATAACTAATGAACACACACGCACGCACACACACACACACACACACACACACACACACACACAGTAACTCCCCCAGAGCGCCAATTTCGGGTCACTGTTGCCAGTGTGGAGCAGGGTTGGAATTGTGACATTAAAAAAACAACATTTGCTAAAAGAAATGTAATTTGTAGTTAAATAATTCTAACTGCCTTTTGGACGTTTTTTACTCACTTTATGTCTCTTCCATTATTTCTGTCTCCAACAACGTAGGTTACAATTACATTAGCATGACCAAATATGCACATTAGGTGATGATGTCATTAAGCGACTCCTAGCGACTTTTAGGACAACCAATAGCGAATTTCATTACGGAGGAGTTGGCAACACTGCCCTCTATATGTTGAACTCTGCAGTACAAGACCAAGTTCTCAGAGTGAAGCGTATTTAACAATTCACAAACAGTAGCAGTGCAGATCAGTAGCGTCTTCCATCCGAAATAGGAAGTCAGCAAATTCTGCTTCTTAGTCAGAATTACTTTCAAATAGAAGTACAAAATGAGGCAGTGCACACAAACAGTATCAAACCCAAAACGTGTAATCTGTACTTTCACTTTTGTGCTAATGTGTTAGCATTGTGCTGTACAGCTAGCTACAGATAGAAAACCAGCAGAATAACAGATCAGTGAGATCTCCAGCATGTAACAGGTCGTTGGTGTCCATCCACATCCATGGACTCCAGTTAGCTAGAAGCAACATAAATAGTGTTTTATTTTCTTTTATGACTCGTACTGGAAGGTAGTTAGCTCAGGAGAGACGTCACAGTACAACCTCTGAGGTTAAATAAGCGTAACAAGATTTTAAATTTTAAGCTTTTATTAATGTTTACAGGCACTGCTGCCATCTTGGATGGTGAATTCAGGATTATTGGGGATTTTCACAGGTGGTATTTGAAAGCTGAATTTCGTACTGTAACTCGTTACTGGGTTACATAAAAATAATTCATAATCCATCTTAGTTTTTATGTCAGAGCGAAAGTGATTTTGGGTTCTCATAGTTAAATCTCACCTGCAGAGACAAACACGAAGAGACCGACAAACAGCAAAGTGTAGAAAAACAAAAAAGACGTTCGGCGAGACATTTCCGTAGCCTAGCTAGCTAACACTTCCACCCAAACATTAGCGGACGTCACATTCGTGGCTTGGAGAAAGAGTGTACGATCATTTCTTTTTTTTGATAGTTTTCAATTATATCTATATTTTATAATATATTATAATCACGGAGAGGCTGCAACAGCTCGAGACGAGAAAGAAATTAAAAGAAACGAAGGCAAAAACAAAAAACTGAGTTCTCTACTTCCTGTCTTCACTTTTTCTACTGGAATAAAAGAGCTGATGCAGAGTTTTTATCTAAGTGGTGACGCCTGCCGTTCAGGAGAAAACTGCAGAAAAATTGCTATTTGACGCAGTCATGTCAGGTTGATTTGGGTTCCAGAGATTCGTATTATTGGGTTTTTATTTACTGATCTGGTGATGGGGAACTGGGGTTTAACTTCTGAAAGTCACAGAGAAACTTTGATTTCAGTGAACTGCAGATAAAATTCGATAAAATCCAAACACTCCGATATGAAAGCTGAGCTAAGAGTAGGCTAGCTTTCGCTGAGAGTTTGGTTATCTGATAGCTTGGTCCATTTTTTAAAATTTGAAAATATTGAAAAAGTAATGAAAAGTAACATAGCAATGCCTAAGCAGTCCTTAGTTTTGAGAAGAATAATCGTTAATCTCTCCTGTTCTCTTTCTTACATCTTTTCTCACTGAGTTTCTCTCCATGAGAAACAGTCCATCCCTGAAACAGTGTTTTCTGATATTTGTTGAGATGTTTGAAACATTTACTTTGAAATTACCTGTCACTTCCATCCATCCATTCTCTTCAGCCTGTCCTTATCAGGGTCGCAGGCGGGGCCTATCCCAGTTGTCATAGGATCAGACCCATCACTGAAAAAAACAAAACTAAGGGTACTCTACAGTAGAGCTAGATAGATGCCGAATTACTGCAACTTAAACTTGATTGACTTTTGCTCCACGAACATGTGACAGGAATGACAGAAATGCAGACACGTCTATAAATGTTTTGGCAGCATCAGCTGAGAGGAAAGCAACAAATTGCAGCCCAAAGATGTTCTGGCTGAACATTAGCTAGAAATTCACATGATAGCCTCATGTGACAAATCAACATCAGTCACATGGGTGTATCAAACATGGGCTGCAGAAAGAAAATAGACACATATGAGAAAAGTGACCCACTGAACCCAAATCAGCTTCAAATTTGGAAAACTGTCCTGGGAAAACATTCTTAACTATGACCAAAACTTGGAGAGTGGAGTAAGCTCTGCAGTGTGGAGGCAGATTTCCTTTCTTGTGTGTTAATCACATATTTAATCATATCACATTATTTCTAGTAATTTCACTCTCTCACTTGGTTGTATGCATGTTCACTACAGAGGGGCCTTGTGCTCTGCACACACAGTGAGACCATTGTAAGGGAGACATTAAATAGATAGTGAGACTCCTTTTGCTTATCGAGGGATGCGGATGTTTAGGTAGGGGCCCTGTTATGAAGTTGAAGGTCTACAGGGATCCTGCTTGTAGGGAGGTGACGGGAGGTCATAACTTTCCTTGGATTGGGGGGGAGTCAAGGATGAGTTTGACTGAAGGTATAGAGATAAATGATGTGCTGTGGAACGTTCTTTATTTGACAGTTTGGGAAGGTATAAAATTGTTCATGGGCGGTGTCTTTCCTCAGAAAACTGTTTGGTGTTTGAAAACTTCAAATCAAGCTCACTGGGTGTGTTGCAGGTTATTGTTAAAATTTCCACAACAGCAGCAAAGAAAGCCCAGCAGAGGATATACTTCCTGAGGCAGCTGAAGAAATTCAACCTACCAACACGGACAATGAGGCAATTCTACACTGCAATCATCGAGTCCATCCTCACCTCCTCCATCACCGTGTGGTACGCTAGAGCCACTATCAGGGACAAACAGAGACTGCAGCGTGTTGTGCGCTCTGCTGAGAAGGTGATTGGCTGCAGACTCCCATCTCTGCAGGACCTGTACACCTCCAGTACACTGGGGCGTGCAGCTCGGATCACAGCTGACCCTTCTCACCCTGGACACAGTCTGTTTGACCTGCTCCCCTCAGGCAGGAGGCTCCGGTCCATTCGCACCAGAACCTCTCGCCATAAGAACAGTTTCTTCCCCTCTGCTGTTGGACACATGAACAATAACCATATGACTGTTCCCACCACTAACACATGACCCTACGCTGTGTTCACTGCATCATTCCATGTTTGGCACTGATCACCACCTGCACTCATGTATATATCTTTCTACTTAGCACTTTTAATTCTTATTTTTATGTTCATTTAAGTGTTGTCTGGCAGTATGTTTGCACTAAGTGCCGCAGCAATTTCCTAATGTTGTAAACCTGCTCAACATTTGGCAATAAGATTCTGATTCTGAAATGAGCATTCCTTTAAATGGTGAGCAGTAGCTTTCCATATAGTCTGTTTTACACCTCGACCAAACAAGAAATACAAAATGAAAACATTTCAAAACAAATCTCAGACATAATGTTGAGTCTTTTGTATGATTTGGTGTATCTCAAATTAAAAAAAAAAGGAATAATCCAAAAAGTAGTTATATTAACACTAAAACACACAAGAAAACAAAGTAAATTATTCCTCCCAAACAAATCGTATAAATTCCAAAAGCCCAAATAAAATCCTAAAAGATACAAAAGACAAACAAAACAGAAAGCAGAAAGTCACCATAAAAACAGCAACAATGAAGTCAAACTGGAAGCCAAACATGGAGTAGAAAACCTGAAACTCAGTCCTATGAAAACTACAAAGGAACAAACACTCAGTATTGTCAGAAATACACCCCACTGTTAGAACAATAAAGCAATTAAAATTGAGCCAAATAAAAATCAAAAACACAAACCAAACAGAAGACTGAAAGAGAAATCTTCAAGACAACTCAAAATCCCAGGAGTTGAATCAGGGATCATGTCAGAATCTACAACATAAATAGTGCCCTCACTACATTTCCTGTTTGTCATTGAGTTGATTTTCTTCTTTATATTGTGTCAGATAAAGTCTGACAGGTTTGAATTTAAAAAAATTGAAATAATTTCATATGATGTGTTTACACAGATGAAACCAGCCAACAGTGAATCAGATGCTTCACACTAACTCCACATGACATTCATCTGTAACCAGGAAAGTGACGCTTTAATCCAGTTCAGATGGATTAACATGAACAATCTGTTAATCCACTGAAGCTCACAGACTTCATCAACCTGTCAGATTACCTAAAAGACTGAAAGACGTCATTTTAAACACTTACTGTTGTTCTGAAGGATCTCTGAAACCCTCAAACACTCTTCTGATCATCAGGATGGAAAAATTATCCACTGAGAGCAAATAGAAAAAAGAAAGGAAACAAACTTTGACGATTTGGTCTCTGGCTGCACTAAACAGCCCCAGTGAACAATCTAACCCGTATTTCCTTGTCAGCTGTTTAATATGACACACCTTAGACCAGTTTGACTTCATAGCATTCCCGGACTGACTCAGCTGACTGGATCTGAGCCGTGTATTTGACAAACAAATACCACAAACACACCTAAAGTAGCAGAGAGGTGACAGCAACAGGAAGTAAATTCTCTGGCACAGGTGGATGTGTAGACTTTGTAGACTGTCTGTGTGTTTAGAGTCGAGATAAATGATGAATGAAGGGTCTCATGACAAAATGATAATAATAAAAGTCAAAGGTGTTTTTGTATCCAATAAATATAGACACTAATAAGAGAAGACAAATAAAAGAAGAACAGTTAATATTAAACACACACATTACAGAAAATGTCAAAGGAATTATTCTAAAATATACTGTTGTACCTCCAGAGTGTACTGATTAACGTAAAGGTTGCAGGTTTGATTCCAGCTGGAGACACAAATCACTTTAAGACTGTCAGGAAGGGCACCGGGTGTAAAACTCTGTAAATCAAAATAAGGGGCACTAACTGCTGTGGGGTCGTCATGTGACCAGGAGCAGTCAAATGTAACTACTTTCTCTTTTACTCAACAGTGTTGAATGTAACAGTGTTGTTACTTTCATCTGTACAAAGTTTGTGTAAATAAGTTCTCACAGACAGAAAATCTGTGACAGCACCTCCCACCTGACCACTTCAGAATCAGCTGAGGATATTTGTACAATCACTTATTAAAGGTTTTTAAACACTACATATATATTGGGAATTACATACCCTTGCACTAAACAGCAGTGTTGGTTAAAATATATCTATCATTTTGTGCCCTCATACTTACAGTTCAGGATATACATACATGACATTTTCAGGGCTAAAAATCTTTGTTAAACTCTGTTTCCAAGTATTCTGAATGTTGACATTTCCTCTATAAAGATCTGAAGGAATCTCTAAACACAGTTTTGTGGTTGTGATGAAGTGAGTCACATAAAGAGTGTCACATTTCAGAAAAGCCACAGTTTTGTATATCCTGGTCAGACTGGTTCAGCTGACAGTGTTTGTTTGTTGTTGGTACAGCTGGACTCTGGGTGTGTCGGTGCATATCATCAAATGAGCTTCAGTAAAAGTAAATTCATCAATGACTAAATGATTAATTGGATATTAACCAGATACTGATAATGAAAATTTTTGCTTCTTTTCCAGTTTATTATTCCTCCACCGAAACATGTCAGCATGATTAGTTAAACGACAGCAGGACAAATGTGATGAAACTCAGCAGGAGAGAAGAGACGAGGAGCAAAGTGTGACCAAGAAGCAACGTCACAAGGTCACTTTGTTCCCCTGTGCGTGCAGTGAATCAACACTAGAAAATAAACCATTTACAGTTAATACAGTCAGCAAACACTTGAAATTATAGCAAAACTCGAGGATGCTGAGGGAGCTGGAGCGCCCTGATGTGGTTTTCTTCATGTCGAAACCACAACCAACAAACTGACATGACTCAGTTGCACAACTAAATAATAATTTTTCACTCCAATTACATTTCTGATTTCTGATTTGATTTTCTTCCTTCACTTCTGAATATGAGCTGCTCTTATTAAACTCTTATTATTAAAACAGTTAAATCTGTGTTTGCTAACAGCAGAGCAGAGCTGCTAAAATTCACATTTTCTTGTTGTTAGACCAACTTTTTATAAATAAATGTCATTTGTTATGTAGATCAAGCTGTTCTGTGAGTGCTGTCCAGTGCTATATTTGTGTGTATGAAATATTTTCTTACAACATCCTGTTTCACAGACAAAT